ATTATATTCCCTCGCTCACATGGCTTCACACATTATTTCATTTCTTTTTTCTCCAAATCAATATTTAATCAAAAAGAAGATCACAATTTTACTTAAATTACAAATCTACTTGGTTTCATAGTTTTGGAACTCTCAAATTTACCTATAACCTAAAGATATATTTGTAAAGGTTCAAACTTTATTAATAGAAATTATGAATATAGTTGGTAAGGGTTGTAGAATCGATGGTGGTTTGGTTGTGCAATCCCAAAGGCATGTCTTTTTTGTAACTCTCGACAAAAACAAAACCGAGGAGAAAATTAAAAGTAATAATTTAATTAGTGTGGTAATTATATATAATTAAATTAGTTTAAATAGGATTTAGGAGGAGGGGGAGGTAGCTAAGGGCAGGGTTGTCTCTTCGCAGAAACCGAGGGGCTGGGGCTGGGGCTGGGGCTATGGGCAGGCTCCAAGGTAAGGTATTAATTTTTTAGGGCAGTCTTTCTTGGCTTCTCAATGCGTTTTGCCCTCTAATCTCATTGGAATTTGCCCTCTCTCTCTCTCTCTCTCTCTCCTCTCTCTGTCAATGGAATGGAACAACAGTTATTACGTAGACGTGTCAATGTCAAATATGAACCAAATTGGTTCAAAAATACGTTTTTGTCTCATATATTCGTGTAATTATTTCATATTTCAATTTACAATTCGTGTACAGTTTCACGAAAGTTAACAAGTGTTAGATTTTTGTTATGGAAACGATTTCGGCTTTGTATTACTCAGTTATTTTATATCCATATGTAGAAATAAAAAATTTCATTAAATTTTGATAATATTTTTTACGATAAAAGTTTACAAATTAACTAAATAGTTATTTATGGAATTTTCTAAAAATATTTTTTAACTAACTATGAGTGCGGTGTGGTACAAGATTTTTTTATACATTGTAGAGTATAGGGGGGAAAGTTGATTTGTATCTATTTGTGTTGTAAACTTTATATTTGGTGAAATTAATTCCTAAACTTGGATATATATTACAGGTTTTATCTTAAATTTGAATAGATATATGTTGCAACTTTTGCCTTCTAAGTAGACTTTTGTTCGAAGAATGAAAAACATATTTCCACTTGTTTTCGATGAACTATAAAAGATAGGTCATAGTTAATGAGTTTTGCAAGATTTTTATGCTACATTATTATTATTATTATTATTATTATTTTGTTAAAGTAAGTGGAAATTTTAATTTAATGAAATAGTAATTAAATTTGTAGTCAAAATTAATACAAGTGGTCCAGTTTAAGAATAAAAATACGATAAAAGATAAAAATACATACCATAGTTTTGTCATCAACAAGAGTGCTAAAATTGTTTGTTCAATAACATTAATAGAAAATAAAACAAATGGTTAAACGCTAAACTTAGTTGAACCAGTCAATACATATTCTTTACAAATAAAAATAAAAAATTGTGGAGCCCAAAACATTCCTATGAAACGTAAGAATTTTTTGTTCGAATGTGGTAAACCTTCTGCAACGTAATACTAACCTTCTTTAACTCACCAAGTTAAATACTTGATTAATTTAATTATAGCCCTTATCGAAACCAAAGCAACAAGCGTCCAAAAATTGTTTCTCGTGCTTTGTGGGTGTTCAAGAAAATTAATTAGGGGAACGTGACAATTAATCCTTTATTTCCCTCTCTTCATCAAAAGATGTTCATTTCAAGTAGGACGAAATTCTTGTGAAGAGCTCGAGGAGAACCTTATGGAAAGTTAATGGATTGTTACTGCCTTGACAAATTAATTAAGGAAAAAACACATCATTTTTACTCACAACAACCTATTTTCTCCCATTTCAAAAATGGACAAGAAATATGTATAATATTTACAATATATTATGTTAGGGGTGAAATTATTCTAAAGAAGCAACATCAGTTGAACTCTCGAATCGGACGGTTTAAGTTGGACAACTCAACTTGACTAGACCCGAACGGATTGAACTCGATCGAGTCAGTCCACTCAAATACGAGGAGAGATTTGAGTATGAGGTATACTTTCACAACCCTACTTACTTTTGTTATTTGAGTATGAGTGTGTTGAACTATTTTTGTTGGATAATATGTAAAATTATAGACACATAGGCCAAGCTCATAAGCCAAGAAAGTATAATACATTAAGAGAAAAAATCGTACGTCTCAATAATATTAAATTATACATTAAAAATTGCTCCCTTTGCAATGAGCTAATTTGGCAGCTTCTTCTAAGTTATATCATTTTGAAATGGAGAGAAATTAAAAGTTACGCACTGTTTAAACATTTTATTACGTACAGCATTTTTCTTTGTGTACGAATAATTCATTAATTCATGCATCTGTGGTCTACAAAACTCTGCATTTTCTTAATAGACTGTGGCGGGAAGTAACTAAGTACAGTTTGATTAGGGATGCGTTGGTTTTGGTAATGATTAAGCATTTTAAATATACTCTAAATCAATTCATTATTTTAATCCTAATCTCATTTATTAATCAGAATACTTAAATTTATATTACAATTAATTAAGCATAGCTTCGTCTCCAATATCGATGCTCCAGAGTCCCAGAAACGGAGCTCCTTTAACGAAGAAACCTATCTTTAAAATTTATTCTTAAAAAAAAAAAAAAAATTATTTATGCATTTGATGTTTTTCGAGAGTTAAACGTAAACCTTAACCAACCATATAATCAAATCTTTAAAACACCCAAATATTCCTTGGCGAAATCGTAACTCTAAGACCAACCATTTGCAAATGCCATTTACAAACATAATCTAATTTCAAATTCCATCCTCATAAGCCCTAAAAGAATATTTAGTTTCAAATGCCGTTTAAAAGAAGAATTTTCATAAAAACAATTTGGGATGTCACGTGGCAAGGGGATAGAAAAAAAGGAAAACTATACTAAATGACAAAATAAATATATATTCTTCTTCATGTGCTATTTTATAGTAGAAAATTGTCTTAAATGACATAAAATAAATATGTATCTATAAAAATATCAATATTTTGTGTTTTTGGTTCGTATAAGTTTAGAATTTTATATCATTTTTGTAAAATTTTTGTGCTATTTTTGTAATTCCTTCTCTAGATAAAATAATAATAATGATATTGTGTATTGTATTAATGTATTAATGTAAAATGTGGTTACTTAAAGAGAATTAGAAAACAAAAGACTCGATTACCGAATATTCGCACGCATTGAGAGTAAATGATAATTAGGGTTTCCCATAAAAGCCCTTGAGCTGCAACCCGGCACGTGGGAGAATATTGGGATTGGGACTCGGCTCGCGGCTCTCTCCATGTTTTTCTTCTTCTGGTCAAAATCCTACGTATCATTTATCAAGGGCCTTTTTTTTTGCTTTATTTATTTATTTAATTTGCATGATTAATTATTCTATTGAGGTATGAATCTATTAAATTACGAAGCTATTATGCTCTACTCTTAAAAAAATGTAGGTTTGAATATTAAATGCATTTGGGTTGGTGGGAAAATTTAATTTTACTAATATTTTATGGCTGATCTTGTATTTAACCTATTTCAATTTGGTTTGTTTCTATTGTGTTATATTTGATTAATATATAATAGATCTCCTCAACATTTTTATATACTAAAAACAAATCATATTAGAAAAATAGGGAACAACATATCTTTACCGGCTTTCTTTCTCCAATAGATTTTAGTTGATTCAGTAAAAAATGAAAATAGTTTACAGGGATTTGTCCATTGATTTTTTTTTTTCCTTTCGGTAACCATCGAAGTGAACATTTTTGGTATAAGAAATCTAACAAAAAAWTTTTTTTTTACGAAATCATTATAAATTTAAAACTACTAATACTAAATTGGTACATGATATAGTTTAAGGATCAAATTATTACAAATTTGAAATTACGGACTAAATCATTTTTCTTTTAAACACAATTGGAAGCGAGTGGTCAATCGGTTGAACAATGCTTGGGTTGACATCACTATTAACTTAGKTGTCAGCAATCACTCTTTTTAACAAAATCATACGAGCTAACATCAAAAGTACTTGCTATTCCAATCAATGTCAACTTTGATCCCTACCTATATGAGAGCATTAACCTTCTTTTTATTGAAGAGAAGTTTCTTATTTTGTAGGTACGGGTTTAATATGCCAAAACATCATTTAGGTATGATTSAAGAGATATATGTGATTCAAACAATGACACTCTTGGATAAGACATTTCTCTACTCATACAAATAAATCCAAGTTGAGCTGACCCAAGAAAACCGCTGTGAGAATGACATAAAGCCTTACAAACCACATGTTCAATGCTTATGCAGTTTGTTTGGCCACACACSATACACTATGATTCTACAATCTTCGTTTTATTTAGTGCCAATATAAAAAGATTAACTAATTGCGAGAGTTTAAATAGTTTTTTTTCTCTCTTCTTTAGAGGGTGTTAATTCAAGAAATTCGAATGAAACAGAGCATCATTTGATGCACTATGCTGTTTCTGTCAAGAATTCGATTTTTGTGGRCTAGCCGGCAAAAAAGGCCGATGATTCAGAAGACGGAAACAGGCCAATATATTCGGCCCAACATATCACTTCTGTATGGGCCATGAGTTAAGAGGCCCATGAAACATTCATTTAATGAGTCCTTTTACCTTTTGATAACACCTACTAAGTTTTTATAAATCATTTCTTTAAAATCTGTAAATTCTTTTTGAAAAGTAYTTGATCAGAGCATATTAATTTATTCTTTGTCGGATTATAAATTAAACGCAATCGCTATCCTCCTTCCTTAAATTTTTTAAATTATATTTTAAGTGAAAAACYTGCTCCCCTTCTTCAGTTTCTCTCAATAATATCCTTACCGTTTCTCTTTCTTTCTTAAATTGATCAAACCATGTCATTATGTCATTTCCATCAAGGATCCAAACGAAAAAGCATTTTAATTACTTTAATTTCAAGTTTTCTTCATTCAATTTCATGAACTGTCGAATAGAGTGACAAAATTATTATAATTAAACCATAAAAAAATCTTATAGTTTCAAATTTTTATCATAATTATAGTTCACAGAAGATATGTATATTTTACAATATTTAAGAATTTAAGTGTAACAAATTTAAAACTTAATGATTAAATTGAGGTTTTTAAGTGTAAACATAATGCGTGTGATTCTGGTAATTTTCTAAAATTTGGTGGCGTGCGTAACCCTAACCCCAAGGAGATTTTGTTCTATCAAGTTAGGGCTTTAAACACCTCCATTATCTTTATAGGAGTTGCAGAGAAACAGAATGCAGTTATAGGAACATGCCCTGTGAATTAAAGAAGTTCAACTCCATCACATGACAATTTCGTCAAACAAAGCAATTTTCATGTGAACAAAATATATGAAGYATGCAAATAATTTTTACACTAGGAAACTTAATCGATCTCMTTATCAAACATGAACTASAAGAAAAGAGAAAATCTGATGAAAATAGAGGCGAAATCTTTTGATGGATTTTATAGTAATGGATGGAAGATCGGAAACAGAGTTTTGAAGATGAACAAAAATTTCAATTGAAAGAAAAGAAAAGATAGATCGCGGGGGCATGGTGCTCATATTCTATGGGTGTAAGGTGTCTGTCATGCCATGGCAGTAGCATTCAGAACGAGGAATTTTTATAATCATCGCAACCAAGCCTTACCATACGAATCGAATAGCAGATAGAACAACTTCAACGGAATATTCGACTAATTGAAAAAAATGAAGTAATAAACTCAAACAAGTGAGAAAAAATAAACGAAATCGGAAGAAGATAGATCTATGCCATCTCGAAAGTAAAATCAGAGCATTCAATTCTAAATTGTAAGAAGCAAAGAAACAATTTGAACTCTAATTTATCAAAAAAGAACAATAGCAAAAGTGAGGAAGAAATTACAAACGCAGGAAGTTTCTGGTGGGAGGGGAGGCGCTGCAATCCACTCTTGAATTGCTTCAATTGCGCAGTTTATATAGAGAACTGCGACTCGGAAGCCCTAACTATGGACGGATCTTCCGAGATTGAGTTCCCAAACCCTAGCCGCAGCGAAGATAGCTTTTTCGACGTATTTCAGGTCTCGCGTCCAACATTGGGCTGAAATATTGGGCTTCAGAACGAAAATGAGTTTCTTAAGGCTTTATTACAGTATTGGGCCGGTTCTATTTTCGTTGTTTGAAAATCTATTAATAGTAAACAAAAAATGAAAGAAAAAGTATTTTAATGGGGTGGCAAAAGTATGCCATATTCGTAGATATAGCAAGAATTTTTTAGTTTTGCAAATATGGTACAGTTAATTTTTTTTTTAAATACCATTTTTGAAAGAGAGATAGAGGCCTTTCTCGGGTCCTCTTGACCTGGTATCCAGAGAAGAAAGAAGAAAAGAAGGCTGTGGAATCTGAGATTGAGGAAGAATACTCGAAAGCTCAAAAAGGAAGTGAAGGATCAGGGGTCCCTCGATCACCCTTCCCTTTCACCTGAACTGGTCGAGAGAGATGAATGCAGGGAAAGAACAACAGAGTCACTGACCGACCAAAGAGATGGAAGGCACGCATGACAAGAGAAGGGGGTGACAGCGATTCTCTCGCGAATCGCGCATAGTTCCGTTTGACCGAGATGTGAATGCCCGTGATCTGCTCGGTATAGTGA